AAGTTGGACATTCATCCAAACAGTGTCACTACTTACATAAGTGTGTTGGAAAATCATGCTTTCTGTTTTTAAGAAAATAGTCTATTAAGTCATGGATCCTTTCCGGTGAAGGATTAAGAGCTCTTGGCCTACAGATACTGCCTTTACACTTGCGTTTGAATAGGCTTATATTAGCAGAGAAAGAAACCTGACATGGTATCTGGAAATAACAGTCAATATCACAAGTTAGGAAATTCTCATATTGGTAATTTGATTACATACTCAGTTTTTCCCCCTATAAACTTCTGTTGCTGTCAAATGTGAAGGATCTTTTGTATTAAACTACAGCATTTCATGCTTTCTGCAGTGAAACATTAACAAGTAGTAGCACTGCAGTGCAAAAAGATGTCATGTGAATTGCCTCACCTTTGTTTGACTACGTTAATCTTTGTACTTAAAGACATACTTGATTTTAAAGATAAATTTGTGGATTTACATAACGCTACAGTTGTGTAATATACCTTTGAAAAAGATGCCAATTGGATGTGTTTTCATCGTGTTACAGAGAAGGGAAAAACTAAGGCCTCACTGAGAGGTTAAGGGTCCCTTCTTGTTCCTGTAAGGAAGCTGTTTGTCCCCTCTGTGGGTTACTGTGTGAAGCTTCTAAAGCCAGAAGGGAGATCGGGTGAGGAACAACTTTGGGAACTGTTGACCTAGCAGGTCACAGAGTACATGTTCAGAATCTCAGACTTAGAACTTACAGCTGGCGAAGCACAGAACTAGCAGAGTGGGAATACACTACAGGTAGAAATGAGATCTTTGGACTGTGTCATATACCTCTCCTGGTGTTTTAGGAAATAAGAATAATTATGAGTGTTCAGTGTTTCATGGTGTTTTTTGTAAGACTCAGGCTCCTAAACTCTCTAAATTTGGGTCTTTAGCATGAAAAAATATTGACCTCAGTCTGACAGAGTTCTTCTGTTACTGAGGTTGAATGTATTTCCCATACCACGACACATCAGTAACTGTGGCTCACCTGTCATAGTTTTTTGGGCAGAGGAAGCGATGTAAAGCTGAGTACATTTTGTTCTGCTGATTGTATTCTTCATTCAGTTTGCGTACAGAATTTTCAGAGCTGGTTAGTTTGCCTTAGTTGATTAAACAACTCTTAGGTTTAGAACTTACCAATATTTTCATTCTCTTGTATTTTTAATAAGCTTACCAATTAATAGATTTATAATGAGATTTATTTTCCTATTCTGCTTTATTTGGGCAACTCTTTTCTTCTTCTGAACATGAATGATCAGACTCTGATCTTCATTTTGATTGTCTTCATAAATGCAAATCAAACTACTTTTGTAGGACTTTTAGTGACAATTAATGTATTACAGGAAATTTCGTAGGGCTACTTCCACAAAACCATGCAGCGTGCAGTGCTGATGTTTTTGCTGTTCCTGTGTAGTGTTTTGCATTGTAATTTGACTTAACTGCATAAACTTAAGTGAGCTTTATCTTCTAATCACATCATCATTTATTTATGATAAAATAAAAATTAATATGATGCCATTTTCTTCAAAGGCATGACCAAGGTTAAAGTAGGCAAGGAAGATTCTTCATCTACTGAATTTGTAGAGAAAAGAAGAGCAGCTCTTGAAAGGTAAGGTAATGTATGTATCTAACTAAAACTTGTTTAACGTCAGAATGACTTGTAATATACTCTTGTAATATACTACACGGGCTCCATAATGAGGTCTGGGCTGTCTCTGCTTACATGGATTCTGGAAGCTGTATGCAGCCACCAAATTTTTGTGTAGAAATGGAATAATTGCCATTAATAATGGGAAATATAGCCTGATTCATAAAGAGGATTATGGCTAAGTCTTTTCAAACTGGTTAGTGTTTAAAATTGAGATTGCAGAGATCCAGTAAGTAAAACTTTACCTGTTTACTTAGGCATTTTGAGTTTAAGCAATTAAGGCACTTCAGCAGTATATCTGTTTCTTAGAAAATCAACTGTTGGGCAGGGAGGCAGGTGAAAGAGACCTTCAGTCCCTTGAAAGTAAAATAGTTTTCTGACAGCTTACAGTACATTGATGTGACTAGCTGAATTTTGGTGTAAGAGGTACTGGTTCTCTGTCACCCAGCACTGATATGCAACTAATATTGTTCAAGTGTCTTTGCCATGGAAGAGTACCGTCACTGAAATACTGTGTCATTTTCCCCTGTTGACATGGCTAGTAAAGCTTGTAGAAAGTAAGTGGTAGAACTTACACAAGTATACAGCCTTAATTTTGCTGTGATTTTATAATATGCCCATTGCTGTGATGCAGTTGCATCATATGAGAACAATACACCATGTGACAGTTTCAGTTAATCTAGAGAATTGAGGAAAGACAAACGTTTTAAATTGTATGTTAAAAGACCTGTCTAACAGATCATGTACGAAGGTCTTGAACTTCTGGAGTTCCACAGCCAGTCTTAAACAAAAAATATCTCTTCAGAATCCTGATGATAATCTTTCCATTTCCTGAGAAACACAAGAACATCTGAAACTATTCTGAACTTCACAATACTGATAGGTTGTTCTGTCTTAGTTACCTCTTACTGAAAATTGTCAGGTAGCTTAACATTTGCCACTTAAAATTGCACCCAGAAGTTACTGAAATTGTTCTGTCACCTGGCATGAAACTGTGAAACACATTCTGGTTATACAAGAAGTCTACTGCTAAAAGAGTGGTGCTGTGAGATAAGGAGAAGACTTGGAATAACAGCTGGGATTAGAGTAACTTGGCTTAGATAACTGAAGAGATACTTCCACACAACTTTAGGTCTCTGTCTGTATAGAGATGACTAGTTTCCCCCTTGGTCGCTCACTTGAACAACAGAAGTAGGATTAGAAAAAGTTTTAATTCATAAGCTTGTGTGCATGCCGCTTTTTCATGTATTTGTTAAAGGAGTTACACTAGCGTACCACTTCTAGTGGATATTGAGCACTCCTCCCATATTGAGGAATGGACTCCTCAGGACTTTTGATAATGTTGAGAAGGCTTCAAAGTATATTCCATTTGTTTTATTCAGAAAGACTATGAATATCTTGTCTGACCAGGAGCAACTTTTTCATCATGCCAACTTTAGCTGTCTTTTCCTTTCAGAATCGAAAAGGTACATTCCTACTGAGGTGTTCAAATGATATTTAGAGTCAGTGGTTCTGTTGCTCTTGCCTAAACCTGATGAAAACGTATTAATGTTCCTCAGAAAGTCAGACCAAGGAAATCTGCTTCAATTTTCTTTTTGAGCCGAGAACTATGGGGAAAGTGGGCAGGAAAGCAGTGTACCTTGTTACTGGAGTTCACTAAAATTTATACTCTGGAATAGTGAACTTATGTATACTACAGGTCTGCCTACCAGATGTCCTCAAGCACATTGCCACTTGTCTCCAGTGAAAATGTTAGAAATCACCCTTGGAGAAAAGGCAGAATCCCTTGGATTCTCTAGCAGTCGATTTCTAAAGAAAAATCTCATTTTTTGCTTGCCGCATTCAGTTGTACTTACCTCTGAGTATGGAAGAAGAAAGGAAAAGTTGAGGAATCTAATGTAAAAAGTAGTTTCACTACAACCCTTAGCTTCTTTAAGAATAAAAATAAGGATCTGGTGGCCATCTCTAATGGGGGATGGAAAAAATACATAACATTTACAATATCAATATACTCAGATTTTCCGTTAAAAATCCCAGCCAACATCACTTTCTAGGACAGCTTCTAAAGCAATTTATGAACGTAAAGGGGCTGCTCTGGTACTTCACAGCTGAGACTTAAGCAAAACTAAAGCTTTGCAAAAAGTGGAGTGTGCCATTGACAGTATTCTGTCACTGCATCTTAATTGGCTGTCATGGTTTAGCCCAGCTGGCAGCTAAGCCACCACGCAGCCGCTCACTCACTTGTCCCTCTTGGTGAGGTGAAGAGGAATAAAATGTAACAAAAGGGCTGAGAGTGGAGATAAGAACAGGGAGGGGTCACCGACCAACTATGGCCCCGGGCAAAACAGACTCAGCTTGGGGACAGATCAGTTTAATTTGTTAACAGTTACTTCAGAGACGCTAACAAGAAAAAAAGCTAGACCTTAAAAAGACCTTCCCCATACCTCCCTTCTTCCAGTCTCTACCTTTTCCCCCAGGGGGACAGGGAATGGGGAGGTTGCAGGTGAGTTCATCACATGCTATTTCTGCTGCTCGTTTCTTAAAGGAGGAGGACTCCTCATACTCTTTCCTCTGCTCCACTGGGGACTCTCCTCATGGGAAATAGTCCACAGACTTCTCCTACATGAGTCTTCCCACAGAATGCAATCCTTAACCATCAGATTGCTCCAGTGCAGGCTTTTCTTATGGAGCCACGGCTTCTTAGGGCTCAGCCACCCACTCCAGAGTGGGGTCCTCCACAGACTGCAGATGAATCTCTGCTTTGTCATCAGCGTCCAGCAGCGTAAGGGGTCCTTCCCACAGCAACCGTTCTCTATGACCTCCTTCAGGCACAGGCATCTCTGCCCAAGCATGGGCTTCTGCATGGGCTGCAAGTGGATCTCTGCTCCACTGTTAATCTCCATGGACAGCAGGGGGACCGCTTGCCATATCACCATGAGCTGCAGGGGAATCTTAGCTCCAGCACACCTCTTCCTGCTCTATCTTAACTCACCTTGGTGTCAGTGTGGCTGTTTCTCTCAGGTCTCAGTTGTCTCTGCTGCAGCTGCGCGGGGCCTGTTGAACCTTGGTAGTCCTGGCAGGATGAACTCCACCCAGCGGGTGCCTTGGGAGCAGGGTACTTGGGAGCTCTCCACGCTGTGCCACTGTGGCCATCTCCAGTCAGGTGGTGGCAGCCCAGCGTGGGCAGTTGCCTGCGTGGGAGGCCAGGGGGCCAGCCCCCTGCTTCCCCCCTCTCTTCACTGTAGGTCCAGCCTGATTCAGGTTCCTTTGTCCCCTTAAACAGGGTATTTGCAGAGGTGCTGGTTGGCTCAGCCCTGGCTGGAGAGGATGAGGAGTCCGACCTGGCCAGAGACCAATCTGTCCACTTTTGGAGCCCAGGGAGCTTTTTAAAGATTGTTACAGGGGCTGTCTCTGCAGCCCATCCTCTGCTACCAAAACACCATCACATTGCCAATGTGGTGGGTTTATAACACATATGTTCTTGTATTCCTTTGATCTTTTGAGGTACTAGGTTTCTGTAAATCATTCATGTACGCATCAGACACTTTCTCTTAATATGTAACGTTACAATTGGTTATGACAAACAGCAGTCTTTAGCGGAAGAATACTAATCAAAACCAACAGGTTTTAGATCTAAGCAGAAACACAAGAAAATTGCAAAGGGAAGGAGTTGCATCAATTTGGGTTTTTCTTTTTTGGGGGAGTGTTTTTGTGTATGTATGTATGAGGCCTTTAGAACTAATATGAGTTGAAGGCTTTAGTCTAGCCAAGAAATAAATAGTTCATACTTAGAACATAATCAGCTCACTTACCAAAGATTTCATTTAATTTTCAAATTCGTCAGCCAGAATTATCTGTAACAAAAAGTCTGTCCACTGCACCGTACAAGAATGTTTAAACAAGCTCATCTATTTTTTGTGGTGTAAATTGGCTGTTATTAGAGAAGGAGGACTTCACCCAGGTGTTGAAAATATGAAGTATAATATTTTACCACTGTGCAATACACAGTTATGGCACATCCCACCTTAAGGAGTTTCTGGTGTAAACAAACTGTGTTAGAAACCACTGCACACACCTTTGGTGTGTTATGTTGTGCTACGGAGTTCATGGGGCTGCATAACTATCATAGAATCATAGAATGGTTAGGGTTGGAAGAGACCTCAAAGATCATCTAGTTCCAACCCCCTGCCATGGGCAGGGACACCTTCCACTACACCAGGTTGCCCAAAGCCTCATCCAACCTGGCCTTGAACACCTCCAGGGATGGGGCATCCACAACTTCTCTGGGCAACCTATTCCAGTGCCTCACTACCCTCAGAGTGAAAAATTTCCTTCCTATATCAAATCTAAATCTGCCCTCTTTCAGTTTAAATCCATTGCCCCTTGTCCTATCACTACATGCCCTTGTAAAAAGTCCCTCTCCAGCTTTCCTGTAGGCCCCCTTTAAGTACTGGAAGGCTGCAATAAGATCACTCCGGAGCCTTCTCTTCTCCAGGCTGAACAGTCCCAACTCTCTCAGCCAGTCTTCATAGGAGAGGTGCTCCAGCCCTCGGATCATCTTTGTGGCATTCCTCTGGACTCGCTCCAGCAGCTCCATGTCCCTCTGGTGTTGGGGACTCCAGAGCTGAATGCAGTATTCCAGGTGGGGTCTCACGAGAGCAGAGTGGAGGGGCAGAATTGCCTCCCTCGACCTGCTGGCCACACTTCTTTTGATGCAGCCCAGGACACGGTTGGCTTTCTGGGCTGCAAGTACACATTGCCGGCTCATGTTGGGCTTCTCATCAACCAGCACTCCCAAGTCCTTTTCCTCAGGGCTGCTCTCAATCCATTCT